TGTATGTGCGATTTCATCACCCAACGTTGGGCAAAACATGAATTTCGTTGAAAAAACCCCTCGATGGTCTCGTGGACTGTTAGTGCAATCAAAGTGGCGCAAATTAAATAAACATCACACAAATGCATTATATTATTTTAGTTACATTCCGAACTGCATCTCCTCCATTCGGTTGGCAGCCTCGACGAAACGGCGTGAGTGCGCGAAATGCCTTAACACCAGTTCAGGTGTGATGTAGCTCACCGAATCTTGCTGAGCACCTTCAAACAAGGCCATTCGAGCTTGCGTCAGAGTGGCAAATTCGCCAATCTCCATCATTTGGCGGCGCCGCATTGCCAGGTAAGACTTAATCTTGGACTTCTAGAGCAACCCTCGATAAGATTGCACATTGGTGAGTACGGTGAGAGGCCAAGAAGCACAAGATCTTCGAGCCCGGCCCCCCGGCTTTGAGTTTGCGAATGGCACGGAGCGTTGTTGAAGACGATGACAATTTTCTTGTCGGCAAACGCTCGTTGATAGTGAGGCACCAACTTGGCATTGTTGTAGATGGTCTCCACAAAAGCAGCGTTTTCCTCCATTCGAATGCGTACGCTATGTACAATGAGCCCGTCATGGCACGACACTGCGCGCTACACTTGAATGTTTGGCCCCTTCGACGTAGGCATCTTTTCAATCGCTCGCTGACCGCGCTTGGCATGGCCCTTGGAACGCTTTCAGTAGAGGTTGTAGTTAGTCTCATCAAAATAGACTATGTAGTTGCCGTCAGCAATATGTTGGAGAATATTGTCCACAAAAGCCTTTCGCTTTGCCTTGCTGAAGTCGTTGTTGCACGCAGCCGGCTCGATGCGCGTATTCTTGATCGTGTAAAGCATACCGTCGAGCTTTCTCGCAATCGTTGATGTTGACACGGCGACATTGACCTCAATCATAATAAGAGATTGAAGTTCAGTTAGAGTTAGTGCACAACATTGGTTGAGATGCACCTCTAATGCCTCCAATATCGCCGGTGTCACAACAGTCCGTGATGGCCTGGCCCCACAACGCAAGAGAAATGTCGTTCGGTTTGTTTTAATGATTCGCCTTGCTGTAGTCATGGCGATGCCATTGTTTTTGGCTAAGGTTTTCCAATCGACAAAGCCATGGAAGGCAGCGAGGAGTCGCTCCTTCCCTTGGGTCGTCGGCATATTGACAAGTGACCGCACACGTGTTCAATTGCATTTCGCGCGCGCGCCAACATGAACTCATAAAATTTATAGCATATATATTTTGTAGAGGTGCGCCACATTGATTGCACGTGAAACCACATTGATTGCACGAGAGCGCAAGATATCACCATGGTCCGAGTGAGTTCGGCTCAACGGACCACATTAATTGCCAGTGTAACCATTTTGGCCGGGAAAATGTGTAGTAATAGAATAAGCAGGAATGACGTAGTTTGAGCAGAGGATAAGTTCATACAGCGGAAATGGTGACGAGCTACTGTGCTCGAACTAGATTTATGGATGATGAACTTGCTACCTTCAGTGTCCAAATGTCGAATTTGCACGTCCATGTTGAGCGGTCGTAGCCTGGAAGTCACTATTGCGAGATTTAGTACACGCAAAAGTTTATAGACTCTTGGAAATTATATGGACTTCCCTTGTAGGGATGAAATCAGAAAACCACACAGTGACAGATCGTGCGAAACGGCTGGCATCCTTCGAAATATATGCCACCGTCTTGTTCAATATATTGCGTCGAAAAAATCATCCTCGAGAGAAGTGAAATTATTTGAACGAAACACCGTGTTTATTCCCCGACATGTCAGACCGAGTCGTTGGTTGAGAGAGCCGACAGAGACACACAGCTGCCAGCGGACTCGTTGGATCCCGTCGGGATAGCACATGCTCCGTCGGGCATGAGCCCCGATGGATCGTGAACGACGGCACGACCACCGATCGATCCCAACGTCGCCCGTGCGTCACATGACCACTCATGATAATTGGAACGATCGAGTTGTGGAGGTAGTGGAACGCCGCAACAACGTCATTTGACCAGTCGCGGTCACCGGGCATGGTTAGCGGCATCGCTTTCACCAAGCGAGACTGTGCGTGCCCGACGCCGCTTTTCAACAAGAAGTACCTTCGGTAACCAACGTTTCTTGGCGTGTCTGCCCTTAGTTCCCACGTTAAATGGCTATGATGATAGTTCGCACCGCACGAACGGTTCCAAGGTGCTTCGGTGCTTTCCACACTGCTGCCCCACTCACGTCGAAGGAACGTACTGCGGATCGCCGCTGGCCGTTGTCGTGAACGTCTCCTCGCCCGGCATTTTATCACAATGCAGCGTGGACTTCCGCATCGAGTCATCCAACGACGCAACCTTAGCTTGCGGCGACACGATTGAATGCGACCGCGTTGTGGAGAACCGGCGTATGTCGTCGAATCCGTCCGCCGAGTGGCTCCCCACCACACAAGTCGCGACCGAGGTACTTGTACTTGGGACGTCTTGAAAATCGGGGCGTGTATGACCGTTGCTTTTTCACATCGTATGCATCCTGGCGTAGGGCAACACAACGACGTATGAATGCAACCCGGTCGATGGATGGAACTACGGGTGGAAGGGAGGCTCGTCGATTCATCAGCGATTGTCTTGGCACCGCATCAAGGTCTAGCTTCAGTATATCAGTGCGTCCTTCTCATCCTGCTCTTTGCCGTGTAGGCGTATGTATTTCTGAGCGATCCAGACTGCCCTGAAAATCTCAAAGTGATCGCGACGGTGGCGTCCCCACCGTTCTTTGTCATGTCGTACCGCCGGTCATGCAAAGCATGCCAAACAAACGAAGCCATGGGCACGAGCCGCGACAACTGTGACTGCGCCGGTGTTTTTCGACTGAACGACGGGTTGCTGCAGCAAGTACTGTCGACTGGAACCGTTCAAGTCGACATGCTTCCGATGGAGGAGCCGGAGACGTCGCCAACCTCCAAGCACCCCGTGCCGACGGTTGTCGCCGAACAAGAGCATGTCCTCCGCATGATGTTTGCAATTCTGCATCACTCGCATATTCCAACGTCCGAGCCAGCCCTTCGCGACCTCTTGCGTTGCTTCGACTCCAAAACGTCGACATTTTTCCTGCCAAAGGCACACCCGACCTCGTCCAACGCTCTCATGCTCTGCGTCAACATTACCCTTGCAGTGCTCGTCCATGGTCGACAGGACATTCTCGACTTCATGGCTACGCATGCGAGCGACCTCCTGCACCAAGATCGGCTGTGGCAGCGGTACGAGCTCTGGCTTCAGCTCGTGAACGCCAAAACGAACGCCGCTTTGATAAACCACAACATGTCGTGGCAGTTGTTCATGCAGTCCCTCATCGCGTCGTACAATGCAATGGATTCGACCACTGTGGCATCGTCCAGCACGACGTCGCCCGTATTTGAGTTCTTTGTTGCCCAGCTCCGTGAAGTATATATGGTACCTACCCACCTGTTTTCGCAATCTCCGTTTGGTATTCATAGCACACGTATCGTTCCTGTAGGCTCGCACGATAGCCCCGCCACTGGGGACCCGAGCGTCGCCGTTCGATGGGTCGTGGGAGCTGGATATCGAGTCCATTCGACTGCATGTGTTCGTGCCATCGTCGCCGCCGACCTTCCTGAGTCTGCTCCGGTGGTTTACCATCGGGCGCTCGTTCGACCAGTGTGTGGTGCACCGCACGCTCCGTGTAAGTGACAACACTGGTGGAGGCCATAGTTGCTGTAGTCGTGGAATCTCACTTGGTTGGCGTAGGTTATGTCGTCACTGGCGGTATTTCCCACCGAGCACTCTCAGTTTGTGCTGGACCAAGCGCCACGTGTGTTTCGGGTCTTTCCAAATGGCGAAACGTCCATGTCGAACTGCGCAGGTCTGACATATGGAGACTACATGGGGTCATTCGACGGGTCGGCGATCCGCCTGGACGTATTTTGCTGGTCCGCGACGTCTCCACGGAGCTGCTACGTCGTGCGGCTCCAGAGCCACGTGGATTCGTCCAACCTGTTGGTTTGTACGGTCGACGTGGCATTCCACGCGAGCCACATCGTCGCCGAAAGCTTTGACGAATGGACCCCCACAGACCGAATTGCAGAGCTCCAGCGCTATTGCCCCGTCGGAGCACCGTGGGTTCGGGTCGTTGGAACGTATCGAAGTCGCTGTAAACCGACATGAAGGCGGTCGTGAAAATAGTAGATGAAAATTTGGATGTAGAACCGATGGACGCCGTCGAGTAGCAGATTTTATTTCGACATGATGCTGAACGACAGGAACAACGTGACATATTTAGGATATGGCACATCAGCACATTCACGTACTTACATGCATCAAGGTTTACCGTGTCAGTTGGTTGAATGATCGTCGGTCGACGGCCTGGCGATCCGTTAGTTGAGATCACAGCACTCGCGCGGGATGTATTGCAAGTCCCCATCCAACGCATTCCGTTTTGTTACAAATCCCGTCGGGAAGTCGACGCAGAGGAAACATCAAACTAGTCGCCAGCACACATCGCGGGGTACGCAGACTGTGTCATGGATTGTAACAATACCCTCACGTGTCCGAAATTTCTGTACCTTTCCACAATCAACAAGGTGATTGCGCTTATTGTTCATGAAGTTGCACGACCTCACCTCATGGACTGTAAATATGTACTCCGCATATAAACGTGCGTTTAGCTTGTGACTTTCCAGTCGAGTTTACAAATGCCATCCATAGACGCAGACGACTGACCATTGAATCACCCATGAAGCATGGAATAATTCACGGGTGAGTCAGTCCAAACATGTTTGAAAAAATATACTACCTCTGTATTCTGCGCTACAGAGCAGTTGGGTCGCCCGATCGTTTGACCCGCGCAAACCACGGTAGCTGTCTAGTACCGTGGTGCTAGTGGCACTGTTGATGACCTAGTTGTGTAGTATTAGTCAGTGGCCACGTGGCTCGTGGCCCCTCAGCCCTCTGAAGTAATACAGTCTTGGATTTGCCTTACGAAGGAGGCAACTTTGCGGTC